TTGTGTTCAAGGAACCTGTCCTTGGCCAGGAAAAACAGGCACTCGCTTGTTAAATTATTTTGCGGTCTAGATTTCTTCTTTTTTGAAGTGAGAAGTTGTCAGTCGGACTGACTGACGGACGGACAGATGGACCCCCCCACCCCCAAACAAATTACACAAGTCACCCAAATCAGCTTTAAAAAAGCGGGAGGCGCCGAAAAGCGAATAATTTGCATCACTGAAAAAATAAAAGCCCTATAGATTTTCCTGTATCCTCCTTACTGCATTTGCATGCTAAGTTCAGCAACAAATTTGCGCAGCTTACAGCATTCGCACACATTTTCAGCAGGAAATACATTTTCTAGTTGTTTTTCTTATTGAGCTGCACGGTACTGATTAAAACTGAAAAATCTCACATTTTAATCTTATGTAACGGAGAACTGTCTGCAGATGGACTGCTAATTTAAACACTCCTTAAATAAAAAGGCAGTAAACTACTGATCTGAAACTTTAGCTCAATATGTTTAAAACACACATCTGATCCAGAGTTTCCGTTAGCCGGTAATTACCGGACTAAGACAGGTAAAATATGCGGAAAAACGGCAAATCTAAATCTCTCCGGTCAAAATGTCCGGTCAGAATAATTTTCCCTTACCGCAATACCGCATCAGTTGCGCCACTGATGTGAAAGACAAGAAGAGTCAATTCAAATGTCTAACATTTAATGTCGAAAAATATATTTATCCTCCTGACGGAGACATTTTGAGCCCCCTGTAAACAAATGCATAATGCTGCGCTATACTTTGCTGCCACACCCCGTTGCCAAGCAAACCTTATTGTTTAGGAGTATAACTGAAGGGCTGTCAGGAGAGGAAAAGAGAGGCTCCGTTTATTATTCTTATATTATTATATAGAGTCGTTATCAATTTGTTTTAAAGCTCAATAAATAACAAAGAAGACCTTTGACCGGCACTTTTCTCCTTTTGTCCGGAAGATTTCAACTTTAACGGACATCTTGACCGGCAAAAAAAAATTCTAATGGAAACTCTGATGTGATCCTCTCACCACTTTGGAGCCGTTCTTGGTCAGAGACAACTCCATCTCCTCCAGGCTGCTTTCGCTGGGTGAGCCAAACAGATCCATTGGTTCCTCCTCCTCCTGTTCTCGCATCTTCAGACTATTTGCCACCGACTGGATTGCACGCATCCACTCTTCTCTGACAGGTAAAAATCCCAAATATTGTCAGGCATTACATCAAACAAATACAACAAGTATTGCAGAGTGCTTGACACACAAATGCAGCTGAATGCCATTTAATGAATCACTTGAAACGTTTTCCCAATATTCTTTGCACAAAATGTCAGCTTGCTTGACATATATTTTACCCTGTTCTTACCTCTCCTCATTACTGTCCACGTAAAAGGTGCGTTCAATGACAGTGGTCCACTGTAGGCAACGGATTACAAATGTGTTAGGCCGGGGTCTTTCAGTCTTCATTAACTGACACTCTGTGAAGAACACAATGAGGATATTAACAGAAACTGCTGATGATAGAGCTGTTTGGAACTCAAAACAGCTTTCTAGCTTTGAGTAGAAAGCAATGGCGTTCGGAGTGATGTTTTACCATCTGGAGAACTGACCTGCCACTGAGAAATTGTTGAGGGGAGGTGAAATCTGGTCGTTAAGATCAGGCTTCTCTTTGTAGCCAATGAAGGAACCGTCATTTTTCAGGATGAAGTACCTCGGCCTCCATGTTTTGATATATTCACCTGGGTCAAAAATGGGATGCAATTATAACAACAACAATCAATAGGAACATATCTGTCATTTTAAGATAACTTGTTATGCTAGATCTGTTAATAGTTTTAGATTTAAGATACAGGTAGACCGAGTGTGAATGACATCTTACGGTTTCTCTTCCTCCTTACCTCTTTTGTGAAGCCATCCCTCTCTGATTATATTTACTTCATTCATGGTTGGAGATGTGTTTCATAGAGGGTCAGGAACAGGAGGTCAGGGAGGGGAACAGTGGATTCTTGTTCTGTTCAAGTCTCAGTTATTTTTATAAAATCAGGACAGCACCTGTATAAAAGTAAAAGGACATTCTAAAATAAAAGGCATTTTTTTCTTTTCTAACACAAAACCACTGAAATGCGTAGTGCATGGTCCGAGAAGGGCAAACAAATCAACGTAACACTGTAATATTACAGATCAACAATACAGATGAGATTCTCATTTATTCATTTTATTTACATAATTAAATCGATTTTTTTTTGTTTTATCCAGGGTATTCTCTGAATACCTTGAAGGCCCTGACGGTTCGCCACTGGTGAAAGTATAGCGTATTTTAGTGTGAGATCTGTTTATGACAAGATGCTAAGTTACCTAGAAAACAAGGGAATTTGATGATGTGTGGCCCACAATCCGATAATAGTAATCATGTTAGTAAATGTCACCCAGATCAGTCCGACTTAATTATTCATCAACAAATATGACCTTATTTATAGAAAGCTATGGATCATATTTATTTTGGTTTCAATATAAATAAAACACGTTATGCACTTCTGATTTCGGAATGCATCAATGTCTCTTATTGCTTATTGCCGTCCTAAACATACAGCTCTGGAAAAAAAATAAGAGGCCAAATGTTCCTTAAATCTCAATCTCTACATGTATGGCAGCCATTTCATTCCAGTGTTTCTTGAGTTCCAACACAGATAAATAGTCAGTAGTTTATAGAATAACATTAAAAAAAAGGTTGTCATTGAAAGCAAGTACATAAAGCACCCTGCAAACACTATAGTGCACGTATACATCATATCCAAGCTTGGCGAGTGATCAGCTAAGCAGCACGTTGGAAGAAAAAGTGCTTGTGTGTGATGTTAGCGAACTGGAAAACAGAAAGTTAATTTAAGTAACACAGCCTTTATTTGAGATCATGGAGAGTTTTGCGTATAAGAAAAACGAATTAATTTGTTCGGCTTTTCCAACAGAATCCGCGAAGAACATTTACAGCTCATCTCGGTGTTGTAGCTACCATTTAAAATACAGTTAGCTCGTATTTAGCAATGAGCTAACAGTGACAGCTGTTAGCTGTATGCTAACAGTGAACAGTTAACCCACCGTTAGCGGGGTATTAGATACATTGGGGGACGTAAAGCGGGTTGATAACCTAACAAATCGTTGACAAATATTCCACATTAACCTGTCTTTCAAACTAAAACATGAAACCCATCCATTAACTAAACAAAAAGCAGAATGTCAGAATACTTAACTAGCCTCAATTAAGTTACATGTCACCCTAGATACAAGACACTTTGTTTCCTAAAGCTAACGCTTAATATAGCAGATTAAGTTAGTGTTTTATAGCAACAACAAAAAACAATTGTGCATTTCATACGATACTTGTGTCGTAACGTTAATAGCGAACGATTAATCTACGATAAAATATAATATGTTAGGTGTGTATGTCTTGTTGTAGGTTACTGATAGGCGTGTAACGTTAGCTTTAGTCAAATACTTATTAGCTCTCAATATATATTAATAAAAGGCTCCTCTGTTATCTTCTAATCCAGTATATTATACATTTAGTGATATCAAAAGATTGAACGCACTTTCACTGACTTCTTCTTCTGCTTCTTCTTATTCTGCTTCTGCTTCGTCTTCTTCTGCTGCTGTTTCTACGGTGTCTTTAACGGCAGCTCGCATCCGTAATGTTGCATTACTGCCACCCTGCTGCCACTGTCACTACGGTCACTACCCGATCTGCAGCTCTGCCCGATCTGCAGTGCGCATGTGCGAGATGGTCCGCCATATTGGACAACTCCGGACGGCATACCAAGTAGGACAATATTGACACAGTGGCTTTTGCCAAAGCTCAAAAATAAAACGAGAGAGAGT